TAACAAAATGTCACCTTTATCAAATTGTGCTGTATTAATCACTTTAATAGCACTAAAAGAGCAAGATTAAGTCAGCAATCTCCCAGTTTGCCTCTGAACATCGTTTCCTGTTTAATTTAACAGTGCCCCTTCTTCTTAGTACTGTAAAGCATGCCTTAAGAAAGAATAGTTTCATATAGCCAATACCTTTTACAGGTGGTATAATTAGTCTTTCATATATGATCAGAAATTTTTTTTTTGCCTTCTTCCATACAAACAAAAAAAAGCATGGAAAGTTAAATACAGTAAAATATTGAAAGCAATATCAGGTATAAAATATTAATACCACAGAAGTAGAGATACAACAGCTCACTGTAAATTATGGATTCAGTTTGATTTATCATCAATCAGAATGTTAAATAAAAATTATCATGTGTTTTGAGAAAAGAAAATGGATGCAGTTAAACTATGTCTTGAGTTAAGTGCAAAATCCTTCTCAAAATATCTGCTGTTATATTCTTCAAAGTCATATCATGGTGATTTGAAAATCTGAGTATCTCAGTTTTACTGGAGATAAAGAATCTCCTATAGTATGGGTCCTACCCCTTTTAGGTGACCTTCTATAGGAAAACTTCTATGATTTATATTCTCTCTCTCTTTCTGTCTCTCTGTCTTCTCCACCCTCCTTTCCTCCCCTCCAGCCACATATCCACACATATTTATGTACATACATATCAGAAAATCCTACCTAATTCTACATACATGTATATCACAGTTTCAAAATAAAATCTTTTATTAATTGGAATATAACAGACAAACATATCTTAAGTAATATTTCAATGAATGCTCACAAATAGAATATGTACATGTCACCATGAACTAGATCGACAAATAGAACATTAACAGCTCCCTGTCCTCTTTCTTGAATTTTTATTACTATTCTCACAGCTAATAGTATAGGTTAGCTTTACCGGTGTCTGAATTCCATGTAAATAGAGTCAAACAAAACATATTCTTTTGTGTATGTCTTGTTTCACTTGTTTGTGAGATTTGTCCATATTGTTGTAGTAGTATATTTATTTGAATTGACGTTTTATTTGTTATTATATGAATATGTGACATTAATTTATGCTACTCTTGATACACATTTGGTCGGTTTCAGTTGGGAGTATTTTGAATAATGCTTCTATGAAAATTCTTATATATATATATTTTAGGTGTATGGATGGTTCTATTTATATTGGGTATATATCTAAGAGTAGAATTACTGAGTCATAGGAAATGTGTGGGGTCATTTTACTTGATACATTTTCCATACTGGTTGAACCAAGTTACAACCTCATCACACATGTATGAGAGTTCCAGATCCTAACAATACATTATCAGTCTGATTAGTTTTAGCCATTCTTATAGGTCTGTAATGTTATCACATCATTACTTTAAATTGCATTACTCTGATGGTGAATGAGATAGAGAATGGTTTTGTATGTTAATTGGTCATTTGCATATTCTCTTTTGTGAAGTGCCCATTAAGGGTTTTTGTTTTTTTGTTTGTTTGTTTGTTTTGTTTTTTCCATTTTGCAGCTGGGTTTGTCCTTCTTGCTTACTAATTTGTATAGGTTTATTACATATTCTGGGTATTAGTCCTTTTGGTATGATCTGTTAAAAAATGTCTTCTCCCATTCTGTAGTTTACCTCTTTGTGTGTGTTTGTGTGTGTGTGTGTGTGTGTGTGTGTGTGTGTGTGTATGTGTGTGTGAATTCTTTTTTTTTTTCAAATGTACATAATTTACCCTTTATAATCTTATAATGATGTTTTTGAGGAACAGAATTATTAATTTTACTGTAGTCCAGTTCATCAATCTGTTTTTATAGTTGGTACCTTGTGTCATATTTAAGAGTTCTTCACACAGTCAAAAGTCATGCAGATATTTTATTGGGTAAACTTTTATATTTATAACAACAATCCATCTGGGATATATTTTCCATGTGGGGGCAGGGGGAGGAAGGGGACCAGTTTTTCCTTTTTTCCACATGAATATCCAACTATCCTTGCATTATTGACAGAAAAGACCATCCTTTCTCCACTCTTCAGTGTCTTTATTTGTTGTAAATTATGTGATATTGTAAATCATGTGGTAGGTTTATTTATGGATTATTTTGGTCTTTTGTTCTATTTGTTTATCTTTGTATCAGGATCATACTGTCTAAATTTCTATAACTTTTTAATCTGCAGTATATCTTTTTTTAACATTGTCATGAATATACTTGGCTTTTCATTTCTTTATAAATTTTATATTTTTATTATTTTTTAAATGTTTATTAATTTTTGAGAGAAAGAGAGAGAGACAGAGCATGAGCAGGGGAGGGGAAGAGAGAGGGAGAAACACAGAATCCAAAGCACAGAATCCAAATCCTCTGAGTTGTCAGCACAGAGCCCAACGTGGGGCTTGAACGCACGAACAGTGAGATCATGACCTGAGCCAAAGTCGGACGCTTAACCGACTGAGTTAACCAGGCACCCCTCATTTCTGTGTAAGTTTTAGAATCATCCTGTTAATATCAAGAGCAACATTTTCTTTTTAATAAAGGGTGGGATTTGTATTGAATTGCATTGAACCTATATATCAAATTGAGAATTGGTATTTCACAGTATATTTTGAACAAACATTTGCAAATATAATCCAGCTGTATATAAAGAGGATGATATATCAGGATGATGATGGGTTTAGTCAGTGGATAAAATGGTTGTTTAATATTGGAATTTCAATTAGTGATTCACCATAACAGAAGAAAGAAAGAAAGAAAGATATCACACAGTCTTCTCAATGGATGCAGGAAAAAAAACCTTGGATCAACTTGAAATGTCATTCATGATGAAAGCTCTTACCAAACTAGAAATAGAAAGGAACTTACTTAATGTCTTAAAGAGAGAAAATGACAACTTCTTCTCTGAGTCTGGGATCGGAACAAGGTTGTGCTATACCACGTTTTACTGAAGATCCTGGCCCGAAACAAGGAAACTAACTCAGACTTGTGACTTGGCAGTTGGCTTCTGCAGAGTGGGAGTTCCAACAGACAAGAAGTGGAAGCTGCCAATCTAGAAACGGGTGCAGTGTTGTTTCTAGTGTGGTCTCTTAGTTAAAGTAGTGACAGAATCACTGGGGTCCGAGAGAAAGGGACAAAGACCCGTCTCTAGATGGGAGGAGCATCAGAGAATTTATCAGTGCTATTCTGCCACAAGTTCTTTTACAAGTTAGGAGCTAGTTATTTTTTGCAGTAAACTTGAGCCCCTAGCTTGATTGACTAAAAAATAATTAGTCATTAATTTGCTTCCTTGGGGTCTTCCTAGGCTGTACTCTACTGTTTTTCAGCACTGATGTTGCTATGGAAAATGTTGTGACAAGACTTGTTCTTTTCCCACTTAGAGCCAAAGTGGGTTTTGTATGTTCATTCTTCTCTTTTTTTCTCTTGGCCTAATGACACATAGATATATATCTGCCTCTATTTTAAGGGAAACATGTCCCTCAGGTATATTTCACATATATAATTTTATCTTAAATATATATCTATGTGTACTGAACATATATTCAAGCGTTTAAATGCATATAAATATTTATATTTATATATGTGTATGCATGTATACACAAAGACTTATATCTCCAAACTTCTTATCCCCTCTTTTATGTTTCCATTATTCGGCTAAATTTTCTCAAGTATCTTTCTCCTGAGTTTTCCACAAATCTCTTTCTTGGGTTCTTGTAATGTGATTATCTTTCATTTTAGTTCTTTTCTTTAAGCTCATGTATCTATTTCTTGAATTCTTATTTATAGAGATTGTATTTTTTTAAATTTCTTTGACTTGTCTATAATTTTCACTTGCTTTAGATATGTATTCATAAGTTTGCAATATTCTTTTCCTCTTTATTCATCAATATACTTACAGCTATCTCCTGTCGCTGCTGCCACTGGTAGTTCTCCTTCTGTTCTTCCTCCACCCCCTCCTTTTCCTTCTCCACTGGTACTTCTCTTGAACGAGTGTAATGGAGGTTTCTTTATTGATAGAGAAGAAAGAGTCAGCTGGCAGTTTGCAGTATGATCTCATAACTCTAGATTTTTCCCCATTTTGTTTCTATTTGAAGTAGTGAACTTGTCATACACCAGCATAGAAACCTTCTGGCTCGTAAGGATGTGAAACATGTCTAATTTGGGACATGATCCTTTAGATCAGTAGTGTAGATCAATATAATTTCTGTTCCACATTAGCTTAACAAGAACTTACTCCGAGCGTTCCTGGGTGGTTCACTCATTTGGGCGTCTGACTTCATTCAGCTCAGGTCATGATCTCACAGTTCGTGAGTTCAAGCCCCACGTCAGTGTCTCTACTGTCAGCTTGGGGCCTGCTTCAGACCCTTTATCTCTCTCTCTCTCTCTCTCTCTCTCTCTCTGCCCCTCTCCCACTCATGCACACATACATGCTCTCTCTCAAAAATAAATAAGCATTAAAGCAAATTAAGAAAAAAAGAACTTACTCTGTAAACATGGTATATCAGAATGCTCAATAAAACTTAGGTCTCCTTTGGGGCTGGTATGGCCATTCCAAGCAACAAGTCATGGGGTTTACTCCTCAAGGTTAACCCTCTATTTTGTAAAGCCCATGATCTATCCACACTGCCTGTCCCTCACAATGATCCTTTATGGGTTTTGGATATATTCAATTCATATTTTCTTTGATGTTTTGGGTTGACTTCAAAAGGAATAGAAGGACAAAGATTCTTTACTTTGGAATACACAGCTGGACTTTAGTGTGCAGTATATGTATGTAACGGGAGGTTAGGTTACAGTGTTTGGGCGTGTGAATTTGACATTTTAAAACTGTTTTCATTTCTTTTATATATAAATTTGACAGTTCATTTTCTAACTAATTTCATTAAATATTTTAATTTAAGTTTAAAGGTTTTCACTTATTGCTTTATTTATTTTTAAATTTATTGTAACTTCTTGATTTCTTTTACTTTTCAGATGCAACAACTGTTCCATGAAAATTACGAACATAATCGGAAGGGTTATATCCAGGACCTTCACAACAGCAAAATCCATGCAGCCATAACACTGCATCCCAACAAAAGGCCTGCCTACCAATACAGGCTTCACAATTACATGCTCAGCCGCAAAATTTCTGAACTTCGCTACCGCACCATCCAGCTCCACCGGGAGAGTGCTCTGATGAGCAAGCTCAGTAACAGTGAAGTGAGTAAAGAGGACCAGCAGCTGGGAGTGATGCCTTCTTTCAACCACTTCCAGCCTCGGGAGAGAGATGAAGTGATAGAATGGGAGTTCCTGACAGGGAAGCTCCTTTACTCAGCATCTGAGAACCAGCCTCCTCGACAGAGCATCAACAGCATCCTAAGAACAGCACTGGATGACACAGTCCTGCAGGTGATGGAGATGATCAATGAAAATGCCAAGAGTAGGGGACGGCTCATTGACTTCAAGGAAATTCAGTATGGCTACCGCAGGGTTGATCCCATGCATGGGGTGGAGTACATTTTGGATTTACTCCTCTTATATAAAAGACACAAAGGGAGGAAACTGACTGTGCCAGTGAGACGTCATGCCTATCTTCAGCAGTTGTTCAGCAAGCCTTTCTTTAGAGAAACTGAAGAGCTAGATGTCAACAGGCTTGTTGAGAGCATTAACAGTGACACTCAGTCGTTCTCCTTTATATCTAATTCTTTAAAGATACTATCTTCTTTTCAAGGTGCCAAAGACATGGGAGGGCACAATGAAAAGAAAATACACATTCTTGTTCCTCTCATTGGAAGGTATGACATTTTCTTGCGATTCATGGACAACTTTGAAAAAACTTGTCTTATTCCAAAGCAGAATGTAAAGCTGGTCATCACCCTTTTCAGTAGGGATTCTGGCCAAGATTCCAACAAGCATATTGAGCTGATCAAGGAATATCAGAATAAGTACCCTAAAGCAGAAATGACCCTGATCCCGATGAAGGGAGAGTTTTCCAGAGGTCTTGGTCTTGAAATGGCTTCTTCCCAATTTGACAATGATACTTTGCTGCTATTTTGTGATGTTGACTTGATCTTCAGAGGAGACTTTCTCCAACGATGTAGAGACAATACAATTCAGGGACAACAGGTGTACTACCCCATCATCTTTAGCCAGTATGACCCAAAGGTAACCAATGGGGGAAATCCTCCCACTGATGATGACTTTGTCTTCTCAAAGAAGACTGGATTTTGGAGAGACTACGGCTATGGAATTACCTGTATTTATAAAAGTGATCTGCTGGGTGCGGGTGGATTTGATACCTCAATACAAGGCTGGGGACTGGAAGATGTAGATCTCTACAATAAAGTCATTCTCTCTGGCTTAAGGCCCTTCAGAAGCCAAGAAGTAGGAGTGGTGCATATTTTCCATCCAGTCCATTGTGACCCTAACTTGGACCCTAAGCAGTATAAGATGTGTTTAGGATCCAAGGCAAGTACTTTTGCCTCAACCATGCAACTGGCTGAACTCTGGTTGGAAAAACATTTGGGTGTCAGGTATAATCGAACTCTCTCCTGACAGTCCAGGCAACACATATTGCCTTTTTAAAGGGGAGTTTACCTCATTGTTGGTTGTTGTTATTTTTATTTTATTATTGTTATTTTTATTATTATAATTATTATTGTTATAATTTTATTTTGTTATCCTGGTCTTAAACTACTCTTGGTTATCTTCCAAAGAGTGTTTGTTGACCTCAAGCAAGAAGAGTCTGCAGTTCACTGATATTTCAGATTTCTACTGAAGTCAATTATGTATTACTTTTATATATCTTTATTCGAGATTGAGTTAAATCGTGGCAATCAAATGACTTTTGAAGCTCATTCATCGTGAGAGACAGCTTAGAAGAATGTTCTCTTGGGGCTTAAAGATGCAATATCGACTTTTATTTCGTTTGTTAAATTCAATGTGATACAAATATTTACTGGTGAAAGGTACCACAAAAGTGCTTTATGCTTCCTATGGGGAAGGGACTCTGTAACATAAACTTGAGTTTTGTAATTTATACAAGGACTTAAAAATATAGACAATAATTTTCTTCATCTTTAGAATTTTTAAAGTAAATGAACACTTATGATTGTATGTTTATTTTTTAAAAAAAGTTTTAAAAATTGAGGAGTTTTGTTCCACAAGCAACCGGTACGGGCTACCCTGGTCTTCTGACAATTATGTACTCCTCACAACTGTCTGCTATAAATGCGAATGAACTTTATTTTCTCAAGGAAATATGATTTAATTAAATATTCATGTACATTTTAGAAGCTTTATGAAACGATGTCCTTCATTTGCTGGCAAGAAGATAAACTATGACAGAACCTGGTTATTTATAATAAAACACAGGTATAACAGTAGTCTTTTTCAAAAACACTGAAAAGTTTGTGTTGTTTCCTTTCAGTCATACTTGATGTAATTCTTAGGGGTCATACTCACCAAAATGTGCTTATTATAGAGACTGGAAAAGTTAACAAGGGATTATAGGCATATTGTTTGTTTTGTTACGCTTTAAATCCTGGCCTTCACAACTGATTAAAATGAGTGGCTTCTTTATTCAATAACTTACATTCCAGGAGAAGCATTCTTCCTCAATCTCTTCAGCTTTGTGATCAAACTGAACCAAGAACAGGTCAGAAACTGCCTTTAATTGGGGTTAATTTGGGTTCTCACAAAATGTAGCGTATTGTACATATTGTTCTACACTCTCGTTTTCTTTTTTCGCACAATAGGACCAAAAATTGCATCAAAGTTGATTTGAAAGCTGTTGTAAGTTGCTACCATTATTTGGAACTAATTGCCAGGAGGCCATACAGCATTTGCCTTAGCAATGGGTTTTGTACAGGGTAATAGTCTCTTTTAGAGAGGACACTTGGGGAGCCTCAAAAATAGATAACGTTGCTTAATGTTGTGACAAATATGATGGCACTCTCCTTGACCGTAACATATAATCTTAATAATGTCAGACTCATTAGAAAGGAATTACTGGCACTTTTAGACATTAAAAATCTTGACAGGGCCAACAATTCAGAATTGATCTCTGCTCTAATATTTTCTCAGCCTTCATAAACCCTTACTTTAATAGCTTATTTTCCTACATCATGTGGCTTACTTTTTCAGCGGGTTTTATTTTCCTGAGCAGTAAATATATTATCATGCAGTAAAGATAGTCATTTGGAAAGATCTACTGCAAACTAATAATTGTTAATTATTTCATTAATGAAGAAAAGAAATCAGTGTCTGCTCATCTGTTTAGCTTAGACAACTGAAAAAGAGCCCGAGTTGTGAGGCGACTACCCAGGGATGAAGTGGCATTCTCTGTAATACTCACGGAATTATGCTGATGAAACAAGGAAATGCAGAGATCTCATGTGACCTTAATTACATACACACATACTGTACTAAAATTAAGATAAGTGCATTTAAGTTCTGTTTTGTGACTTTGCATTAGGCTTTCCTATGATTTTTTTTTCAGGCACTGCAGTATTTCCTGACTGAAGATTTATTGGAATTATATTAGTGAAATTAAGAGTGTTTTCCTGTCTGTGCAGTATCTATTATTTAAAACTCCTTTAAGGTTGAAGGGCAACACAGCATGAATGCAACCTGAAGCATCATATACGTATGTTACCACCATTACCTTATTTGGATAGCTGCGAGTTTCCTGTTTAAGCATCACTCCAATAACAGTTCAATCCTAGTGATCATCTTCTGTCCACTCAATATCATTCTATGCATTTTTCTTGCATTATCCTTTTATTTTTTTATTTTTTAAAGTTTATTTATTTATTTTGAAAGAGAGAGAGAGAGCATGAGCAGGGGAGGGGCAGACAGAGAGAGGAAGAATCCCACACAGGCTCCACACTCAGCGTGGAGTTCAACACGGTGCTCACTCTCATGAAACTTGAAATCATGACCTGAGCCAATATCAAGAGTTCAATGCGTAACAGACTGAGCCACCCAGGTGCCCCTACTTGCATTGTGTTTTTAAACATAATCCTCTCAACATCTCTCAGAATACTGATATTATTTTCTTTATTCAACAGATATGGACACTGAGGCCATGAATAATGAAGTCACATGTCCTGAGTTACACTACTGGCATACTGTCCTTAAGATTTAAGTTAACTCTTGTCCAGACCTGGAGCAGCTCTCTTTCCACGTGAACCCAAGGCTTCTCAGCTGTTGGGGTGATATAGAAGACAGTGGGCAAAGTTCTGGCTGACACCATGAACACGTTTGATCCGCCGTTCAGCTTACGTCTGCTGTATGCTCATTCTGGGCCAAACTTAGTTTGCTGATGTTTGGTCAGTAAGAGCCCGTCAGGCTTTTCATCCCAGTCTTCCACCACTTTGCTAGCTCCCTCTGAGTAGCACTGTGTTGGGGAAAGGTTTCTTCTAATTGCTTGCTCACAGGTCACTGGACATCAGCCAGTAGAAAAAAAAAATGCTGAGGGTTCCTGATGCCAGCAGCAGCCCTTATCTCTGTGGTGTCAGCCTGCTGAGTACAGAAGCTGTCTGCCATGAGCACCACCATGTAATTGTGTGATTATTTATGTCATTTGACCCATGCAGACTTGGCATAAAGCAACTTTGTCAGAGCTATTTCTGAATCTAAGAGTTGAACCCATTGTGCCTAGTAATAGACGAAGAACAATAGGAATAAAATCCCCAAGTGTGTGAACTGATAGTCCAAACAACAGAATGGAATGCTCCCTCGAAAGGGAAACTATAAAGTCCCACTGTTTCTAACATAAGAAGGCTGGAGCCCATCTCCTCCAGTCAGCAGCTCCATTTCGGGGCTACTCTGGTTTCACGTGGTTGCATTTTCAGATCAGGCCTGGGCAGTTCCTTCTTCCAGGAAGAGGACCCAGAAGACAAGGGTCCTTTCTAATGGCTTGGATTGCCTAGATTGCCTGTCATGCTGCCAGTCTTGTTAAGCCCTCACCTGGTACTGTCTTGTTCTTGAGGGAATGGCCTAAGCCAGACGTGGTCCTAGAAAGAGACTGGTGTCTTCCCTCTTTACCTCTCTGCACCCAACACAAAATATTTTTAAGCAGGTAAAATATACCAAGATGAGTTGCAAAGAGCCAGTTAAATAGCTATAGTTCTATTTCAGCCATGGTGAGGAGATATGTATAGGAGAAGGAAGGCATCAACACATTTGAATTATGTGGCCAAGTTGCCTTTCTTTCCCTACCACTTGCTTTCTGAGTCACTGCAAGTCCCCTTCAAAGTTCTTACCCTAGGGATGTCTGTAAGAAGGGACTGCTAAATTCTGCAGGAAATTGTACACTTAAGCTCTCCTTTGTGCTTGATTATTGAAGGCGTATCTCTATGATTATGGATATTACAAGGCAAGTGGGCAAAATAGTGTCCTAAGGGACAATACAGGTATCTGTTATCACTTCTTAGTGCTGCTGACTTGTCTACCCTTCCCATCTCCACTCTTTTCTTTCTTAATTTTTTTTAACGTTTATTTATTTTTGAGACAGAGAGAGACAGAGCATGAATGGGGGAGGGTCAGAGAGAGAAGGAGACACAGAATCCGAAACAGGCTCCAGGCTCCGAGCTGTCAGCACAGAGCCCGATACAGGGCTCGAACCCAGGGTCCGCAAGATCATGACCTGAGCCGAAGTCTGACGCTCAACCGACTGAGCCACCCAGGCGCCCCTCCCCATCTCCACTCTTATTAGCATCCCAATTATTGTCAAAGATACAATACGTGCTGAGTCCAGAAGCCTTCTAGATCTTCAGTTTTTGAGCAGTGGCAACAGTAGAGGCAGGATGGAGATACAGAATAGATGCCAGTGCAGCTCGGCCTCTGTGTGCCCCCCAGCCTCTCGCAGGCACCAGCTGCACTGCCAACGTTGCCTTGACAGATGGTGGGGATGAGGAGACTTCCTTCGGCGGTGATTCATGCCCCCAGGTGGCGACATAGTCACATCTGCCAACCACCTGGTGCTGGCACAAAGCTGCCAGCATTTTCATTTCCATCTTCAATTTTGACATCCACTTGTCTGTTTCCCTCTTCCTTTCTCATGTCGGAAGCTGCCAAGGGCTGTGCCATATTTAGCGTTCTCTTCCGTGAAGGATTTTACTTCAGTTGAATTAAATAGATACGTATTCATCTGTAGGTTGATTTAAAAGTAGAGATGGGACGCCTGGGTGGCTCAGTTAAGCGTCTGATTCGGCTCAGGTCATGATCTCACAGTTAATGGGTTCAAGTGCTGAGTCCTGCTCTGTGCTGATAGCTCGGAGCCTGGAGCCTGCTTCAGATTCTGTGTCTCCCTCTCTCTCTGCCCTTCCCCCCTCACTCTCTGTCTCTCTCTCTGTCTCTCTCTCAAAAATAAGCAAACATTAAAAACATTTTTTTACATAAATAAAAAATAAAAAGCAGACATACTGAGTTTTTATTATCCATCATGCACAAGTATACATTCTTGATATTCCATTCCCTGCTGCAGTCATTATAGGATCAACTTTGATGGAATTGGTGAGTATAAGATTGGAAGGAAAAAAAATGTATTTACAATGATTTAAAATGGGCCTGTTGGGGTGCCTGGATGGCTCAGTCATTTAAGCATCTGACTCTTGATTCTGGCTGAGGTCATGATCTCATGGTTTGTGGAATCTAGCCCAGCAGTGGGCTGTGCATTGACAGTGCAGAGCCTGCTTGGGATTCTCTGTCTTAGTCTCTCTGTGCCCCTCCTTTCCCCCCCGCCCCCCACCATGCTTTCTCTCAAATAAACATTTATTTTTTTTTAATGTTTTTATTTATTTTTGAGACAGAGACAGAGCATGAGCAGGGGAGGAGCAGAGAGAGAGGGATACACAGAATCTGAAGCAGGCTCCAGGTTCTGAGCTGTCAGCACAGAGCCCGATATGGAGCTCAAACTCACAAACTCTGAGATCACGACCTGAGCCGAAGTCGGACACCCAACCGACTGAGCCACACAGGCGCCCCTCAAATAAATATTTCAAAAGCAATAAAATAAAATAGACCTATCATATAAAAAGAGAGTGTTCAACAGAAAAAAAAATGCTGTTCTTTTTCCCTAGAATGCTCTTTATTTTGGTAAAGTGTTAACCGGTTAGCAAATATTTATTGAGAACTTCTTGGGAACAAAAAGCTCAAGCAGGAAACTCTAAGACTGAAAATAGGCGTCACCTGAAGGCGAACTTAGACCTTCACTCAGGCCTCCTATGGAGCTGTTCTCCATTTCCTTATCAGGTCTGCCCCAACTCCTATTCCCTAAATCTCCACAGCCTTCACATTTCCTTGTTTTATCCAAGTGGGGAGAAGTATGTGTATATGCCAAATAGAATCTGAGATCTGAAGGTGAATTTCAAATACAGAAATATGAACCCACCTTGATTCTGG